GGGGACTGGTGGGTGTGGATCAAAGGTCCTGTTAATCTGTCTTTTCCAAAAAGTTGGGGCAATGAAAAAATGCCTCATCTTTCTAACAAAATAAGAATATAGAAATGCAACTGAATTATTTTCCAGGAGCTGGCGTACAGGACAAAGTGAGCTTTACAGCTTCTGAATGGCTTCTTTTGGCGGGGGGGGGGTGCTCTTTAAAGCTATGGCTCTTAGCATGAGTCATGTCAAATACAACCCAATTCATTTCTCTCCCCCCACCCCTTGAACTGCAGTTGACACTTCTTTATAAAGCTGAGGCCTTAATTGGCATTAAGGACATGTTTCAAGCACTAGTGAACAGAGTGCAGCAATTTATTAGTAATCGTACCTGGATCTGATCTGCAATTTCCGCAGCTTCGTACCATGTCCAAAAGCCATTCTGGAGCTCCCAAGAATGAATAGCTCTCACCCACCTGGTATTTTTTTTTTCTCCCCCAGCAGAAAAAGTTTTGTCCACCAGCATGATTGTTTGCAGTTGCCTGGCAATTTCTCCAGCCGGCTGAGTCACACTTAAGTTGCGTTGGGTTGTGTGTGTTGCCATTGGAGGGCTGGAGAGCGCCATGCGTTTTGACCATGCCAGGGCAGATGGCTCGGGAGCTCTGTTTGCAGGATCTCACCCGTCTCTGTGAAAAACCATCTGTGGGACTTGACCTAGCCAGAGAATTGCAAAACCTTTTGCTTGTTCGCTGCTTAAACTGCCAAAATCATCAAAGCTGACATCTGTGCCACCCTGTTTTCTTCTGGGTTTCTCTCCTGTGCATGTCAGCTCTTCCAAATTCTGGTTCTGCCTTTGGAGGGAGGAGAGGAGACCTTTTTCTTAGCGGGCACGTAAACCTCTCCTGATCTGTCATTTCTTTGCAGCCACTGCTCAAATTCCTAGTAAACTTTCTTACCTCCCTCATCCTGGAGACCTGCTGATTTCCTTTCTGAAATTGACTTACTGTGGCAGTCAATTTCCTTGTGGCTGAGTTTCCTTGCAGGCAACAGATGTTCTGAAAAGTCACGTCCAGTGAAATAAATCAGGGCAGAGGGTGATTTGTGAGACTCAGTGCTACAGTTGGAGGATTCTGCCCTGAGGCTGGTGGTGGAAAAATCCCCTTGTGAGCTTCCTTGTTAAAAGGAAAGCCCGTCAGATTGGCTTTAAAGTAGAAGCCATTCCACAGTCTTAACAACCCAGACCTCACCTATCTGCACACCAGTTAAACACACCCTTACAGGTAAGGGCACAAGACCTTTTTACCTTTTTAGCATGCTCCCTCAACGGCCTGAGCCTTGACCGAGAGAAAGATAGCTAACTGTCACTGGCCGGAAAATAAAAATACGACGGCAGGCACTGAAGACTGAATCTGCAGGTTTAATGTCTTCATAGACTCTTTTGTTCTCTCTGTGTACGTGTGAATGCATAGCTCATGTAAGTGGAAGGTTCTTTGCAATCCAGCTGTGCATGTTTGACGTAAAATGGTCAAGTGCCTAGGTGCAACTTGCAAGGGCTGCTGCTAAACAGAGAGAATATTTTATCAAATGTTCCTAATGTTTTCTAATATTTTATCAGTGGTAATAACACTGTTTTAATGTTTTTACTGATTTTTGTATATTTTAATGTGTTTTATTAAGGGATGGCCATTTTTGTGCAGTTTTACTTTATTTGTTACAACCCGTGGTCAAAACAATAAATAAACTGAACTGAAGTCCCTAGGTGAGCCAGCAATAGGCGTTGGGATAAAGTTCGGCAGGCTAATAGGCTTGAACAAGTAGCTTAGTTAATTTATTCATTTATTGATTTTATTGATTTATCAAATATATATACCCCCCATCTCACACAAAGTGATTCTGGGTGGTGTACAATAAAACCATCAATTAAAATATTCTACAAGGGCTTCTTAAAACAATTAAACATAAATAAAAACCAGATTACAAGGGCATGCATCCATGATGCAGCCAGCACACAGGCTTCCTGTTGCCAATGCCTCCCATTAAGTTGTATGGGACAAATCGGTATGTTTTGATCTGGAATGGACTAGAGAGGGTACTAGATCCTTCACTGTCTGTTTGGCAAGCCAACAGCATCTGTAGAGTTCATCAAGATTAGTGTAAGAACCACGGTACTCAGCTCCCAACGAAAGCAACTCTCATTGAAACCAATGCAAAGAAAAGTTCACTTATTGGAAAGTAGCCCACAGCTCTAAAGCATTGCTGGAACTGAGTCCCGCGTGTGCCAAAACTTAGTTTTACTTGACTCCCATTTCACCCCCCCTTCTGTCTTTGAATCTCTCTTGCGCATGTCCAAGACTCTCTCTGGATCTCACGCTGGTATGACCTTGGGCATTTCTGAGAGCCAGATAACAGGCCATCTGCCCTTAACGGTTCACCTTCCAACCTTCCCTCTCTTCCTCCCCATCACTGAAATAGCAGAAACGAAGCAAGCGAGCTAGCAGGGCGATTGATTGATTGATTGCAAGGATTCTGACTATTAGGCCATGAACAATTGACCTGGGTGGCTTTTGAATGGTGGGGGGATGCATGGTTCTCAGCTGGGATGGTGAAACCTGGCCATATTTGCAGGTTGTGAATAACCTACAAGTGGCCCAAACCACAGTGATGGGAAAGGACTTCTGCAGTTGCACTGCATCGGTAGACTTCCTTGGACAGCTTTCTACAGCTGATATGTTGGAATCCCAATGGCCAACCAAACTAGTTGCTGCAGGAAGAGGTAGCTGGGTTTAGAGAGGCCTCTGATGTGATCCAGCAAAGTGACTCTTTGATTGACTCCAGTGCTTGCCATCTTTCCTTTCTAGGTGACTATTTTGGCATCCTTATGGAGGCAAAGGTGACATGCTTCCCGTTCAGTGTCTTGGACAATCCTATGTACTGGGGTAGCACCGCCATCTATTTCGGATGGTCCCTCATGTAAGTTCCATCTTTTTCTGCTTCTTCACCACACCAAGATTCTGCTCTTTGGAGAGGAGTCATTTTTCATTTCTTGTTTATGGTCCCAGAGCAATAAAGGGAAGGAGTCATTGGCAGCTCCCTGCATTGACGTAAAATACTCGGTCCCTGCATTGACGTAAAATACTCGGTCACCACTTGTCACTGGTGAGATGATGGCTTTCCCCATAAAATACCTCAAATCACGACATGGGTAGTCATCTTCTTCCCTAACACCCATTTTTTGTTCCCTGGATGGAAATTGCCAGTTTGAAAGGCCGAGCAGAAATGGGAATAGGGCTACCCAGTCTTTGAAGGGCTAACCAGGCTATATGTGAATGTTGGAGTCTGTGAAAGGCTAGAATGTGGTCTCAGATTCTGTAGGAAAGGAAATCAAATATGAGTCATAATGGTTGGGAAAAATTCCAAGACAATACATTATCTGCAAGTGAGAGAATGGTTGGATAAGAAATGCAGTAGCACAGCACAGCATTTTTCCCTCCTCGGTATAAATTATATAAAACACTCTGGAATAATTATACAGGCAGAATTGCGAGCACAGACTGTTGCAGAAAGAACAGAGCTTTGTGAGGAAGAGGATGGCACTAACTAGGGTACCGCTGACCAATTATTTCTTAACAATATATAGCAAAATTACCATGCTTTAATTAGCAGTGGTTCTCCAAATTTTCAGATTTTTTTTTTAAATTTTCAGTTTCTTGTTTTTGTTTTCCTAAATGGAGAGAGATCAGATCTGGCTCTTTTCTATGTCTCTGCTCTTCTACGTCTCACCAATCCTCTTCTCTGGCTTTGTGGACATTCATCCTTTAAGTTCTTTAGTTTCCCCACCTCAAAAGTGTGCAAGCATGGTTGCCATGTTTCATGGCTGCCATCACCATTGAGCAGGACTTGGGTTCTCTGAAAGCTTGGTGGAGTTCTCCAGAGCTTTCTAAAAGCTGCTGCTGAATTTTAATCTTCAGAGTGACTGAAGGGAAAAAATTAATATTTGGGAAATAATTATATTAACACAGCTAAGTTAGTAAGTACAGATATTTCAGTTGGGGCGCTTGCCTTCCCACGTGCAAAAGAATTTGCAGTTCAGCTAAACCTTGGCACCACTTGGGCATTTCAGAGGGAGGAGTCCCTTAAGAAAGTTTGAGCACACATATCTTAAAGCCCTCTTGCCTCTGAAATCCTCAAGAGGTGCAAAAATTTGGCTCCCATTTAGAGTGGGACTCCTTGATATATCATAGCGATTTCCATCCTGTCGCTTCTCCTGCTTTCCCTCCCTTGAATGGCCACTCTCGGTTTTTGTGGCCTAGATATCAGCCTGGTTTAAACGGAGTGGGTGTCCACACCCCTTGTCAAGCCAGACTCTGGGTGAGGCCACGTGTTCCTTGTGTGGCCCACAGAGGGTAAATCAGCCTAGTGGTGGAGCTTCGAAGATCCGGCCTCTGTGACGCACTGACTCTTGCTCAGGCACATCTCTGCCGTTTTAATTGGCCGCTAAATGAGTTCTGTGATGAGCTGGCAAGGCTACTAAGTGGCTCTCCATAAAGTGGGGAGAAAAACAACCCGTGAGCCAAGGAAAGCATCAGGGAGGAAGAAGGAGAGCTCTTTCAGTTCCTCAAGGAGAGCCATTTATACGGTGATGCAGAGCGCGCTCTGAGCAGCCACTTCAAAAGTTGAGCAATGGCCAAAAATTGCTTCGTAGAACCACAACTAGATCAGCAAACCTTCTGAGTCACTGGGGTTACCTCTTGTGGCTTCCAATTCTTAAAGCTCATCTTTTGTTCTTCCTTGTCTGACGCTGGTTTTGTGGGAATGGCACTCTCCGCCCGTTCTTACGTGGCCATTTGAAGGACTACCAACCTGTCACAGGTTCATTCTTCCAAATAAAAAAGCAATCAGGATGCACAGCTAGGCTGCTCGGGCAGGGGTATGCAAATTCTGTCACCTCAAGGTCCCCATCAGGCTTTGCATGGCTGGAGGAGTGGAAAAGTAGGCATGGCACAACCCAATTTTGGGAGAGCTGTCCAGGCTTTGGGGAGATGAAGTGGTCTTATGGAGGAACTGCAAGAGTGAAGGCACTCAGTTTCCCCTTAATTTCCCCAGCTCTCCTGCAGAGATAAATACGTCCAATGGTTCTTCCTCTCTCTCTTTCACACACACACACACACACACATTGTAGGGCAGACTTGACGGGGCCTCAGAAGAACATGTTAACGTGTTGCCTGTTGTTCCAACACCATTGGAAGAGGTCTCTGTGGCATTCCAACTTGCCAACTTTCAACCAACTCAGCAGCACCATATTTTGGTCCAAATCCAGACCTAGCGAGGGAAAAACATATTGGTGGCAGCAAATTGTCCCTCTTCCTCCAGAAAGTCTCACCCTTGGGTCATGATGGACACATGGGCTGACACCCTTGCCCAACTCTTTTCAGGATCAGACTCCCCCCGCCCAATGCCGCCACCCTGAACGCCCTCCCCAAGCTGCATCGCACCGCTCCGTCAGTCTTTGCAAACCCTTTTCCACAGCCCGTTGTATTTCTCTGCATTCTTTTCCCAACGCTGTGGACTTTGGAACCGGCTGATTGTAAGATGCTGCTTTTTCCAGTTAAAAAAGAACTGCCCTGTCAGGGTGGGAGAACTTGTGGGGTTTTCAAAGCATAGCTAAGCCAGTCCTTGTTGCAAAAATGAGATTGGACGCATTCACGTTCTGATGCCAACTCAACGGATTGCTCTCTGTCCCTAACCCTTCCCTCTGCTGGTTCTGAGCAAGTGAAATCCTGTGATTCTGTTGTGAAGCGGGGCTGTTGAGCTCTTGTCTCAGTGGCTGCGGACCTCGTTGCTGTCTCCATGACATCCGAACACCAAGGCTATTTCCTTCCACTTCATGAGAACATGTTTGGTATGACCTCATGAAAGGGACTGAAGGAACAGATCACATTTCCTGGCCTTTAACTAAGCGCTCTCCGGCTAATATGAGAAAACCACAATAATAAGCATTTTCTGCCTTCCTAAATGTTGCCAACTTAGGACGGAACAGAACTGACAAAGGCATTATTTGCATCAGCTGTTACCTGGTTTGAGAGAAGGATGCTAGCCCAGCGAAAAAATTAATATATTTAATAAACACAACACTTCATTTTTTAAACGAAGTGTGCTATTTCAGGGGCTGATATACGAAGCAATGCGTAAGACCAGCAAGAAATTAGGACTTAGAAAACAGCAAGAGTTTTCTAAATCCGCTTGCCTTTTTTTGGAAATCTGGTCAATGAAATATCCATTGAAAATGTGTTTGTTCCTGGTCAAACATTCCTGAATAAAGCAGAGTTTTAACTGTTGAAAAGTAGGACAAGAGTAGATCTTGGAAACTGGGGGGGAGGGCGCATAGATTTATTTGGCTGACATTCTAATTTCTACTTGCCAAATAAATCTGCCAATCCGAATGTAATTCTTTAACATTCACATTTCTCTTAGTTCTGCAGTGAAGTTTTCCAAGTGCAGAGTCTGCAAAAAAAAAATTTTTTTCCAAGAAAAATTGCATACAAAAGAGGTGCATACAAGAAAAGTGCAAAAAGAAGTGAATATAGGAAAAGTGGGTACAAAAATGCTCAAATTCCCATATGGATTTGAACAGATGAAGAAATGGAAATCTTATATGCAGATATTGTATTAAATGAGCTTTGGATTGGAACAATGAAAAATGTAAGAGGAACTGGACTTCTGTAAGTTCATCTCTCCAAAGAAGAGAGAGACATACTCTTAAGATTGATAGCAGGCTTGCTCCCCCAGGCTGGGAACCCCAAATGCTCACAGTAGGATGGGCAGAAATGTTGATGTGATATATCTGAAGAACCTCAAGATGAAGAAGGCCAAGCCAAAGACTTCCAAAATTTGGGAGTGGTCCCCAGTCTTAAATCAACTTTGCCAATTATTTGGAAGAGGTCCCTTCTCCAGGGGTTAGGCAACCCATAGGTCGTGTTGGATCCCATTCTGCATTTTACTTCTTGTCCGAAAATGGCTGCAGGAAGGGGAGAAAATTGGAACAAGAAAAATGGAGAGGCATTGAGCTCTTCCTTTCTCATCTTAGCCCCCTAGGAAAATCCGAGGTTACCTTTTACGCTGCCTTCCTGTTGACAGCTAATTTTTTCCCCTTGAAGAAGAAAATCCATGTTTATTAAGGTGGTCTGAAAATGAGCTTGCGTATGGGGAGAAGCGTGATCAAGGACTCATTACTCAAATCTGTTCGGGAGCCGTATTTCAGAATAGCAACAGAAGCTATTTTAATCTCCCTTCCTCTTGGTTCTCCTTCAGTCCTCCCCCCTCAGGACGCAGCTCCATAAGGTCCCCTGAATCAATTTAGGCTGCACCCCAAAATCATGGGTTTGAAGGGAGAGCAGAGTGGCTTTTTAAAGTCGTCCTTATACCTTCTCCCTGGAGTATATCTCAGTAACTCCACCAGGAGATCTAGGTGGCTTCAGCTCCATGCAGAGGTGAGGTCAGTTCGAGTTTGCAACAGGCTGGCCAGAAGCTCTTTCGTTGTACACAAGTGGGTGTGTGTGAGAGACAGTAGGGGCTGAGGAGACAAAAAGTGGGTCTAAGCACTGGGTTCGCTCCATCTCCAGTTTCAGAGGGCCGGGTCGCTTAGAAAGTAGCACATTCAGAAGTCACGGGCATGTTCTCTCATAAGTCCTGGGTATTGAGTGAGTCCCAACAAGGACTACGGGGAGTGCTTTTAAATCTAGCGTCACCCATTGCCCCTGTGGTCTGAAGGCAGAAGGGGTTTCGGTGGCTAGATTCATGCCACACACTTTAACCATGAATTCATCGGTTTTCTAGGTTCGCACAATGCTTTAAACTCACAACGTGGTTTGGGTTCATAGGAGACATTAAGCTGCCAAAAAAAAAAAAAATGGAAGGTTAAAGCTCGCATATATATCACCTTTATATAGCCGCCCATCTCACACAAAGCAACTCTGGGCGGCGTACAACAATTAAGTAAAAGAACAAACAGATAAAAACAATCATGATCAAAGATTGTGTGAATGTATTGAGCTTTTTCAGGCTAGATTTTTTTGCGGTAGTGAAAGTTCAAGCCAGCATTTGCCCTTGCCTTCATTTTCAGTCAGATGGCAACTGATCCTAGCCAATCCGCGCACAGAGATAGATCAGAGGTTTCCCATCTGCTCTGTATTTTCATCCATTTGACCACAAATTGGCGCAAATGTCAACAAGGTGAGCTTCGGGCTGGTGTTTGTCCTTGTGTTTCAAAACAGTCTGAATAGGGGCATTGAAGTCCAGCATACTTGGAGGGTACCCATCAGCCACTGCCAGCATGATGAGGGGGCAAGGGTTTGGAGAGTGGTAATATGAAACCTCTGAAGAAGACCATTTCCCATTTTAAAAAAAGTGAGATATCCTGTGAAATGGTGCAAAGTGTCTGAACTTCATGTTTATGTTGGCTAATCACCCAGCCAGAGTTGCTGTTGAAACGTAAAGTCATGTGACACATTTACTAGCATTTCTTGAATGAAACGGGAGCCCTGAATTTGCTCAAATTCTCCAGAGATGCTCCAGCAAAGTCTGGGGGGGTTTCAGAGTCCCACCTAAAGACTCTATTTTTAGTCTCAGACTTCCTGAAAAGCTCAGTCTGGGGCTTAAACGTGCAGGCAGGACTGCAACGAATGAGGCAAAGTCAAAGCTCCAAGAAATTCTGATCTGCCATATTTATTGAAGGACATTAAGAAGCCATAATAAAAGAATTCCCAGTGTTTCAAGAGCAAGTCCTCTTTATCGAATCCGTTTTCAAACTGTTTTGCACTCTTTCCATTAGTCCCTAGTTGTTTGCAGTACTCTCACGCTGTTCATCTCAGATGGTATGAGAATTAACTCTGAGTTTCACAACTGGGGCATCTTCTCCATTACAGGTTCTTTGGCAGATGTTTGGTGACCCCTTTTCTTTTGGGCTGTTTTCATAAATTGGAGTTGAATGAGGTCGTTTTTGAGGTCCCTTTTCATTTTGTGGCTCAACAACTTTTGAAAATCTCAGTCACTTTTAGGTTTGGCTTCTTGGGTGAGGTGGAGCCCCTTGGTGAATTTGCAGAGGAACCAGGGAATGAATCTTTAATCCTCATTATATTGAACCAGACTTTGTTTAGGTGAGCTGTTGACTGACTCTATTTTTGCTTAATATGGTTAGGCCGTCTGATCATCACTCCCTGATGTTCAAATGTTCCACTACCTTTTCTTTCTCTCTGCACTGCCCAGCGCAGCATCTGTGAGATTGGACATAGTCACCCATCTTACATCAGCAGTTTTGCCCTCCTTAGCTTCTGTTTAGTCATCATAATTCATTTGTCCTTTGATCAGTGACCCATTTCTTTTGTAGCTAAGTCAGCTCAAGTTAGAGGGAGCCAACTGATGAAGTTTTCCTCCCAACAAATCTTTAAGAGGGATTAAGGCAGAAACACCATCATGAGCTAGTCTTGGCCGAAGAAAGAGGCAGATTACATGGAGATGAAATCAAAGCTCATTGCCAAAATTGTCTTGGGAAACTGATTGATGCCTCGTTAGACTGTTTGACCATCTAGTCTAGGGGGGTCAGACTGGGCAAGATCACAATCTTGCACCAAGATCTTTCCCACAAGGTTCTACAGATCTTGTGAAGTAGCAACTCTGGGAATTAGAGTTGGGATTCTTTGTGTGCCCTGCCCCTGGACAATGGTCTCTCTTGAGATTAGATGGACTGAGTGTATTTACTTTTGAACCAATCTCAGTAATCCATTGGCCATCCTCAATAGAATTGATGTAAAAATTTCCACTTGAGATTTGGACTTTGCTTGGACAACAGTACCCTAACTTCAGATATTTCTGTGCCAACTTTCTGAAAACCACCAAGGCAATGTAGAAAGAGTTCCAAAACAGCAATGCGGTTCCTTAAGCATAAATAATTAAATCAGCACCACCCATTAAACACAAGATGGAAATCACTGCTGGGCATTTAAAAGGCCAAATTGAAGAGATTTGGTGTCTACTCCGGTTCCAAACTGCTGAGTGAGCAGAGACCAGTCTGAGCTTGGAAAGGAGAGCATTCCGCAGACTGAGGGGGAGGGAGGCAGGCCAAGCCCCCGACATCTCATAGCGTGGCAAGGTTGGTCTCATAGGAGTGCCAGAGCTGAGCAGTTTACAGGCTTAAAGTTAGATTGGAGGAAGTGGTGGCCCTCCAGAAGACCTTCATCATTCCCCGGCCTGTCTTAGCACAGTCAGGCAACATCAGGAAGACCACCAAGTTCTCTCCTAGGAAGGACACCCTTTGACTCCCATCCTGGAGGGATTGTTGTAATCCGAGACCACAACGGCTGGCCTTCTCCATTGTTGCCCCTCTTCTTTGGAACAGGTCTTTCCCAAAGTCAGGTCAGCACCAAATCTATTGGTGTTTGGGAAAACCTTCTGAAAGACTTTGGGAATTAATAGTACAAAGCAGTATTGTATTTCCTCTGTGCCTTATTGGTCTCAATGAGTTGTTCTATTTTCCTTATTTTATTTTTGTACTGGTTGCAAGCTACCCAAACCCCTTCTGAAATTGAGAGGCCTATGCATTGTCATGATAAACAAAATAAAAATTGCAATAATAAATAAATACTTGGGGCACCAGCTGCCCCCTTTCCCCATGGTTACTTATGCCCTGGTCCCCTCATGTATGGATTACTGCAATGTGCTTCCACATGGGGTTGCCCTTGAAGGCCACTCGGAAGTTACAGCTGGTCCAGAACATAACAACGTGAATGTTATGGAAGCTCCTTAGTATGCCTGTATAATAGTTCAACTGTGCAAGGTGCACCGGATACCAGTGAGCTTCTGGATGCAATTTAAGGTTGGATACCACCTATAAGGGCCTCTCTCCCATTATTTCTGCCTGTCCCAGAAGACCCAACAGGGTGGTCATGCTTCGCATCCCATCTGTTAAGCGATGGTAGAACTTAGGAAGTGCGCCTTTTCTGTTATGGCATCTGCTCTCTGGGTTAGCATCACCTCAGAGATTCAGACTCCCCCAACCCTGGAAACCTTTGCATGCTCTTTAAAAACCTGACATACTATGTCAATGTTGTTG